TGAAACATAATGATTTTCAATTCAGAGTTTAAAACTAAAAAAGTTAAAATAAGTAACATTCTTCACATCACAAACAAGTTTGACCATGAGTTTGTATATCAGTGTCATGGCAAAATATTAAAAAAGAACAGAAAATGAATGTTTCGTTTTATTTTTGAATTTTTCTAACGTGAGCTCTGATGACTTAACACAAAATAGAGCCTAATAGTTGGTGTTCAGATAAATAGTATCTAATGATATTAATTCACATATTGAGATAGAAAATTTGGGGCTGGATAACTATTCTAATTTTCAAAGAGATCCCTACTAGTTGCTTGAATCTGCTCATCTCAAATTCTTTCGAAATTCTAAAAATTGACCAGAAATATCTGGACGCATGAGTTCTTTCCGAAACAAAGCAATATCTTAAATGCTAATGAATTCGAAATACTGTTACGTCTGTGGAAACAGGTAACGCGATCTTATTTTGTTGGTAAATTTTGTTTTAATTCGCATTTTCATAGCCTCATATAACTTGTGCAATTAATATAAGTGATTGTATGTTTATTGCTTAAATTGAACCTCAGTCTTCCTTTACCGTCTTTTCCTCTAGTCGCGTGACACACAGACTTTGACTCATAAATAAACTGTGCACATTCTTCTTGTTCTTACTGACAAGCTGCTGCAATAGTGGACTTCTAATACATTTGTTATCTACGTCCATAGATAGCAGCAGTATCCACACTACGTGATTATTTGATCATATGAATCTAAGTTTTGTGCACCAAATCACTAGTGAAGAGCGATTCCTCCACAACTTTATACGGTAAGCTGTGACACCTCATTACCAATTACTTTGCAATAACAAGCGAGGTTTGCATGACATATATGAACAATAACATGCAGCATAAATATATTTACAAATATCCACGTATAAGAACGTAATCATAAGAAATTAAAAATTAGCAAAAATCTCAAAATTACAACTTAGATAATAAATGAACTTTCATATACGACCTATAAATTATATCCAAATGACATATACACATTGTCGTATCATACTAGAATCTATAGATACTTACGATAAAGGCACCCTTTGATCCAGCTTCATCAAACACCTTAGTCTCTATTGATTTCTTAATAAAAGTTGTAGCGCTAGATACATAGTTGTTCAAAGCAGGGGTGGAAAACAACGACATCTTGTTGACAAGTTCAGAGGTGTATATTACGCGCGGTTAGAGTACGAAGTGAATTGATTAGGTAAAACGAAGAGTGTGATGACTTCATGTTAAGATATAAAATAGAAGAACTGAGAAGCTAATAGCCTTAAGACTTTCTAATGCATACTGTTGACAAAGGACGCACTAAAAAATATTTATTCATTATCATAGAAATTTACAAATCGACTTTAGAACCCTAAATAAATGTATGAGTTACAGATCACCATCTAGTGTTCCCGCGAATTTCAAGTGTTATTACTGTATTCTCAAAACACTAGAAGTGAATGAACAAGTTATTGTGGTCAAGACACCTGTTTTAACTCTTTCAATGGTGAATTACTGAACTAAATAGATAAAGACAGCATTTTCGCCGAAACGATATACTGATGAATAAAGCCTTTAGCTCAATTCATCGTCAATTTACTATACGAAACATAACTTGACCTTTGATTTTAAACTCGGAGTAATTATCAAATCGATTGGTGATATAGAGTCTCAGATGTCGATGTTTATGATTTTACTATCTTAATCACAGTAAATCTACTCTGTCAACGAAAAATCTCAATTTATAAAGCAAATACCTAATAATCGAATGTGAGTCGCACATGATTGATTATTGGCTTCGTTCAGATGCATAGCATAAGATTGTTTCCTGACTTTGCGGTTTGTTAGGCGTCAGGTAACGGTTATAAACTTGTGAATCTTTGATAACACACAATATCTTTGTAGAAATTTGGTCAGCAGACTTCAATACTTCATACATTTTCTGAATTTTCTATTGCTTATGGCCGTTCAAAATTAGAAGTACTGAAATATTTGTAACTTAAATTGCGATTCTAATTAGTCATGTTTCATTTACTTTGTATCAAAGTTATATATGGGCAGAAGACATAGAAAATAAGTAGGATATGTAATTAATTAACGTCCACATCTGTCGTCATGGTGTCAGATACTGGCATCAGACGGATATTTCTTCATCCCTCACAGTACTGATATCTTCATCCGAGAATGTAAAAAAATTATTATATCACATAAGTTGAACCTAGTTGGATTATGAAGTGATTCTCGGCGCGCAAATTAGGCTTCATGAAAAAAGAACAATTTTACATAAATAAAAGTTCATACTTATTCATGTAAGTCAATGACGTTGCGCTTCATATGTGTCTGAACCGTTACATGCCCTTGTAGATGTAAGTATTTTGGTAAATATTTTCCAGCGGTAGCAGAAAATTATCATGTGCTTGAACTGTCACGATTTACTCTTCGTTTATAACCTTTATTGATTTAATGATCCGTTTTAGTTTTTGTTATCTGTTTGAATATTGACAATAGTTTCTAAGAATTTTGATGCCTGCAGCGATTTTCACAATAACCTAGTCACGAGTGATTTAAAACCAATTGCCCTGATACGGCCGAGGATGAGTAGTGTCGACCCTCTTTCCAAATACCATCACATGACCACGTGTATAGATCTACTGTCAGGGAAGTCATAATCACTGCCTTCCTGATGTAGGCATGTTGTTTATGAAATTGAGAGGACGAAAAGCTGGTGTCTTGCACGCAAACCGGTTTGGTGGACACGAAAAGTTCAGTATTTTAATTGTCCAACAAAGGTGAGAATTTCATTCCCTCTCATCTTATTGCTGTACGTGGAAATAAAGAGAATTCAAACAAGTTTGGGTAGAAAAAGTTCGTACCATAAACATTCAATCCCTGAATTCTGGATTTGTAGTTTCCATTAAGTCTATCCCGAACTGAGGGAATCGCACTCTTTCGCTGGACTTTCCTCTGAAATTTCCATATGAAATACGAGAAATATAGTAACCGGAATCAAGCTAAAATCCTGTGTGAACAAAGGAATCAAAACCTTATGAAGGGAGTTGCATGCAAAGAGAAATAGACGGATTTGATGTCACTGTAGTTATGCATGATGATACGTCTTTGGATACTGTGTTTAGGACAAGGAATTATCAATTATCAATCACTAATTCGTTAGATTAAGATCATACCATGTCTTAACATTTTGTTGGATTCCGCAAAGCAAGAGGCTGGATTCACTTCCCTTGAGATTGTAAAAGCCTAGGGTATGCCTGCAAAAGTGAAATCCAGGAGTAAATAGACAAAATAGATTTATATTTGTTCCTTGGAAAAACATACGTTAAACTTGAAAAAGAGGTCAAATGTATCAAAGAAGACATAACAATCTAGAGTAAGAAATCAAAAACGCATGCATACGTTATATTCTGCTTCTAAACAAGGACTTTTATTTCATTTGTAGATTCGCGTAACTATTGTTGGACATCGTATCTTCATGTAATGTTGCTAGACTTCGCAAAAGCCTTTGACAGATCACCTCATGTAAGTCTCATAGCGAAAGTTGCAAAGATGGGGTTCGATGGTCGACCCCTATTTCAGCTCCGTAACTACCCAAAGAACGAGCAGTGGTAGTAGTAGTAGTAGTAGAAGTAAGGTAAATAAAAAGCACACAAGTTGGAAGATCTCGACATCATGAATTTCACAAGGCACAATTTACGGTCCACTCCTGTCCTTAATTTTCATCAGCGACCTGTTAGATAAAATTCAATCGGCGGTAGTGATCTACGAGGACAACGCAATGATGTTGATGTCTACAAAAACCGAAAAGAATTCACTTGAGCTTCGGAAGGACCTTATTACAATGGTATAATATGTTGAAACCTAACCTGTCGAAATGTCCTGTCATGAAAATCTTGACACAAATCGCTTACAACCTCCATACAAATCCGCTCCTGATTGTCTCCCCAGAAAGTGAACTTGTAACTTGTAAGCAGCTCAAACTATATTAAGGTTGCAACCAAGACCAACCTGACTCTAATTAAGGCAAAGACGAGTGAACACATTACCCGAGTTGTTTCTATCTTTTAAATGTACCCACGGCCTCACCTTGGGGTCCACAATGTTGTTGATCTTGCTCTCTTAAAAAAAAACAAATCTCTTAAACCAAGTGAATGACAGAGTTCCAAGAATTGGAACTGTTCTCCCTGAGCTATCGGAGAATGAGTCGACCTGACAGTGACATATAACATTTTAGACATGACAAATCATCAAACCCGAGCATTTTAACAGAGTATTATCGCCAAACTCCTTGAGACAACTCATGGCAGATTGCATATCAGAGAATAAACAACAAAGCACGCCCCCACTTTTTCTCATTACGAGTTGCCCTCATTCCGAGTGCCCTTTCAGACAAAGTTATCGCAGCCCCATCAGTGGATAGCTTTGAGAGGAAACTTGACAAATACGTAGTCACCCATAGATTACTATCACCCTCTCGGATCAACTGTGTCCAATGAATGTCTCATAAATTACCACGGTTATCAACACGACATATCAGTAAATACTTCTCTTCCCAATCATTATCATCGCCGTTTCCTTTCTTATCCCTTCAATTCCGTCTTCGTAGACATTAACAATTAATTAATTAACTTACTTAATTTGTTACTGAAACAATCGCTTCTCTTAGCACTTGAATGATCGTTTTATTATTTTCACATTCTAACCAACCAACCTCTTGCCTAGTTATGTGGTAGTTACTGATACCAAAAAAACCCTGCTGTTCTGAGACAATCGCACTCACTGAAACTACAAGATATACAAATCCACAAATAACTATCAAACTGACTAGAATTAGGGCCGTCGTGCCGTTAGACTACCATACAATAGACATTATCGAATACTTAAAACCGTGCCGAAATAACAAGAGGCTAGCGCAAAGAAATCAATTGGTTTTTACAAGATCGTCACAAAGATAATCAAGAAATTGTTGATTCTGCGCATAGTTTGGAAGGTGCGTTACTCAGTAGGCGACTGTATATGTATTATATTCTATCAGTTTCAACATATGATTACCAGTTTTATTTATAATGGTTGAATATCACTGAATCTTGGGACAAAGTTTACTAATATGGGTGGGTTTTAGGAGAATAATCCTTAGTCTTGTAAATCGACACTTAACGTAGTGACATATGTCACCATGATTCATGCAGTTTTATGAATTATAAAGATTGAAATGCACATCACATAACATATATGATTTTAAATTCATGAAGTCGTTTCACTTAGCAGTTATGTTCTAGGATCATTAATGAACGTAGTTAACATCCCTGTATAAATTTATACAGGGACTCCTAAACCACCAAGTATTATTCTTGTTGTTACTTACGAGGACCATCGTTTTGATTCTTAAGTGGGGCGATCTAAATTTACCATGATGAGATATAATTGTATAGTTATATAATTGTATAGGTAAAATTCAAATACTAACTATATTGCCCCAGAACCTCTTGTCTATTGTTTCTGGGTTTAATGAGCGAACAACCATATTGAGGAAGTGAAGTACTATGGTTTAGCTTTTGGTTTTAAATACCCTAGAACTTGTTAATTGTTTATATGGGAAATGTTATTATGTCAAACTTTAATGTTTCTGATCGCGAACTTAGCTGTTTTTATTATTAACAAACGACGTTTTATCAATAGAAATAATAAACAAATATATCAGCGCCCTAATGTTTTTGTTGACCATTTCTGGTCTTCTTTTGCAAATTTAAACATAAACTGTTAGTTGCGTTGGAACGTCTGCTTTATTTTGTATGTACTTTTGTTATCTACCCATTAATTAGTGACCAGTGGATTTTCAGTCGACATTATTTGATCGCTTGCTGTCTTCGTGTGTAGCCCTTGTACAGTAATCGGGTTATCAAAATGTTGGTATCACATACAGGTAGAACTTGTATTTCCTTGTCTGAGGAACTCTTGTCAGTTAACAATGATCAGAGAGGAGAAAATATATCATGTCTTTACATAAGTGGAAAGCGTAGGTTCACATATTAGGCCTTAACCAAATATATTTAAGGGTAGAAAGTTTTATGTTTCTACATATTTAAATGAATAAAATAAAGACTTTTTAAGAATGCAGTCGCTGATATACATGGGTACTGTGCTAGAGTACTCAAATTATATAGTTTTATTTGGTAAAAATATAACAAAATGCAGTCTTCTGATCGCCTTTAACAACAGTGCAATCATGTTTTGACTCCGTTTCTCTTTTCCCTAATGTTAAGTGATCCAACGATATCGAGGTTAGACATAGCCAGGTTTAAATAGGAAGTTGCTTAATAAAGATACTAGTGTTTTTTAACTGAAGTGCTTGAGGCATATGCTTAATCATCGTGTACTCTGATAATGGTGAATGAAGTAAGAGATGGTTGTACAAAGCTTAAGGATACCCAATGCAAGACGTGGCATCAGCCCACGATCACTGACAGTTCATCTTAGCCGCGTTCATTGGTGTACATTACCTAGTTAGGGTCCACTCCGTAAACATAATCAGTGGTTAAAAATGTTAGGCGACAACTCTAAATTATTTAGAGTGGCCCAGATTCATTTGTTATTTATATTCCCCTTGATTTTAGGTTTCAACATTCCAATACTTTTTATTTCCCGATTTCGCTTGTTTTTGAACCCCATTTTTGCGTTTGTCTCCTTTTCGCCATCAACAGAAGTACTATTTTCTTGATGCTTTGATTTTCAATTTCACCTCTATACTAATTGTCATACGTGATTGTGATTTGATACACATTTGTGCTAGGTCTTACATTAATTATGACTCACTGACAATCTAAAATCAAGTACCTAAATTATCACAGAAAATCGCCACTGTGGCAACCTACAATAACTGATGTTAGACAAACCAATCGTGTTTCAGCTTTAATACTTTTAACTAATAACTTTCACAAACCGTCCATTTTATGCCAAGAGTTGTGTCATTACAACTCATTCTGCATAATATAAGCTAGCAAATGTTTGGTGGTTAGAGGTAGTTGACAGGAAATAATGTTGGGTTTCCTACGGAGAGCATAAATTCCCTCAAAATTGAAGATACTCTTTACTGACAAGTGTCTATTAGCACAGAACTTAGGCTCAGTGTTTTTGCTCTGCAATATATATATATCACATTTGTTTCGTAACAGCCTACCCTAAATAGTTAATTGAACTGCGGTAGGCAGTATAAAATGTTAACCTATATTCGTTCTCTGAAGACATCTAGACTGTTGAATCAGCGAATTCTCAAGTCATCATTGTTCATTCATATCTCTAAAGTATAATGTACCTCACAACGTAACTCAGAATATAAACGAACTATCGAATTTATTCTTTTTTTCTACACTTTTTTTCAATTGTTTATTTGTACATAACTCTTAACATGTCGATATTTTCCTGATGGTAACAAAAAACATTATACTTTTTCTCTTCATATAGGTTATTTCAAATAATCATGTATCCATACATATACCCATATATGTGTCTATTTATGCACTAATGTTTTATGAAAGTAAAAAAAATGAATAATGGACGATCATCAACAGTTAAAAAGTAAATATGAAAGATTATGTGTGGAATTCAAAAAGGTTTGTTTGTTTTTTCATATTGTTTACATCAAATTACCTACTTTACAGCTTCGTACAAAGTATAAAACGTTGAAAGACAATGAAAATGAATTAAGTCAACAACTACAGGTAAGTATTCGTATGTAACTTTTTCCTTCAGTTGTATTATCTATGTAATATTCGATAACTTTGAAGTTATTAAAATGTTTCAATTAAGAGTTCAAATAATGGATTGATCTCAGACAACCATTCGAAACTAGGAAGCACTGAACAGCTGTTTCATCCCTATATAAAGCTTTTCGACAATCCCCACCCATCATCCGATCAATGACTAAACCCAGGACGTCCACGTCCCGCGACGAGCGCTTAGCATTTAGAACACTTACCCTGCATTCACTGGTTCACGTATCTAGTCTTAATAAATTCCTTATTTTGGGCGACCTCCCAACCCTACTGGTAGGTAACTGCTTCAAACTCTATATGCTTGAACTTTGCTGTTCATGAGTTCTCACTAAAACTTCGGAAGTTACTTTTTAGCATGTATTACTGTCAACCACGTGCCACTAGACATGAAGGTTTTGGGTTCGAGCTTTGATGAGGTCACAGGTGCAGACTGTCGAGGAGTCCCATAATAACAACAGCTGTCCAGGGTCATCTAGCTTTAATTAGTTATCTTTATTTATTTCTTTAAACACATAAACATTGGCACAAGGAGGCACCAAATACATATGCACCACACAAATCGAATGATTTCTGTGGGGGCTGAGATACTGCTCAGTTACCCAAACCGAAACAGATGGTTTACTCAGGAGACCACACTACGAGCCTCTCACCTAAATGTCTAATTCACAAGACAATGGAGCAACGTAAGGAGATGTAATCCCATGGTAGTCAGTTACCAACAATAGGTTTATACGCCATTTGTTCCCTCAGGATCCTGGAGCCCATATGTGTCATTGGTTTGAAATTAGGGTTTTCCAACTCTCCTAGGTGGATCCTCGATATTCACCAACCCGTTTAAAGCTTCAAACATTCTGTTTTCGTCTTTTCAATTTTTCAAACAATAGTAATGCTACGAGGAGACAGTGAGTAGGACTTCCATGACAGTGGCAGTGGCGAGCTAACTAACATTGGATTATTATTATTATATAAATACAACCTATAACTTGGACTCCTCTACTAACAAGTCTTCTCTACGGATAACCATTTTTTGTATATTTAATTCGGGTATCTTATTCTCTATTGTATTTATATATTATATATTCTACATGGACTTATTATTCATTCTTTACTTTCTTTTAAAATTTAATAAAATATATAGGAGAAAATATTGCAAAAAGATGTACATATTGAAAAATTAAAACAAGAAATTGAACAATTAAAATTAAACAATCATAATATTTCTATTAATGGAATCACACATGAAAATTCAGCAAAATTATCATTACTACTAAGTAATATTAACAATGATAATGATAATTTAAGTCTCATTGATACTGTCAATGTAAATAAAGTGACGAAGAAACCTATAATTACTCAGGTTAGTAATATGTGAAGCTTTTTTAAAAATATCTTTTGTTGATTTAAATATGTGAAGCCCTCAAATACCCTGGTACGACTGAAATGCTCTCAAGTGGCCATGTGCATACAACCACTTCCAGGGAAGTGCTACTCACTGCCGTCTCTTGGCGAGGGTGTTGTTTACGAAATTGAGAGGATGAGAAGTGAATGTCCGACGCTTTAACGGGGTTTGTGGACACGGAGAGTCTACCTAGGGGTATTGGAAAACCCTTAGCTCCAGTATCCTGAAGGAACAAATGGTGTATGAAGCAATTTTCGGTCACTGGCTACCATGAAACTGTATCTCCTTACATTGCTCCACTGTCTTGTGGATTAGACCTTTAGGTCAAAGGTTCGGGGTGTGGCCCATAATAATAAATATGAGTTTTATTCAACATTACTTCCGTTATGAGTCAATGTGATAATCATTCAGTGTAGCATTCGGTTTTGTTTTCCCGGTATGATATTTTATTCTGTATAATATACGATATTCTTATATACCATTGACTATGAACTATGCTCAGCTAATGATTTGTTATAACTGTGAGTATTTTTCATATATGTGATTTCATCCTAATTAATAATCAAAGTGTATGTACAATCAATATATAAATGAGTGCGTTTTTCGACTAGGGTCATTTTCGTCGTTGTGTTTTGGGGGTTACTAAATAATCATTTATACCAGTCTTTGTGTTCTTACTTTCGCATTGTGGGACTTGTAGAGGTCCCTCGTTTCGAGTATATGTGATAAGCGTTTCTGATATAACAGTCAGCGAAGACCAGAAATAACAAGTAAGCATTCAATTAACAAGTTATAACAGAAACCATCTGCTTCTGTTTGAGCACCCGAACAGTATCCTAGCTCTCACATAAATTGAATGACTTATGTGGAGCATATCTATTTAGTGCCTCCTTGTAACAATGTTTATGTGTTTAAATAGATAAATAAAATATATGAAACTAATTAACTGTTCATATATAAAAGGACTATTGATATGATGGAAGGAAAGAATTTATCTTAACAGTCAGGTTTTAATTCATTGAAAAACTAGTGACTTACAAAACTGATATTCTCTCCAATCCTGTATGTTATTTGACAATGTTATTTTTCTATCTTTAATTTGTGTATAAGCATATTATTTTATTAGGTAGAAAAATCTTATTCTTTTTGTTAGTGATTCTTTCTTTGATATTAGTCGAGTTAAAGACCATCTGAGTGAATAGTTTGATCGTGTAAGTATTGATCACTCGATCATATTGTATCATCATATTCCATCTATTGATCGGTATTCTGTTGATTTGTTTCAACATCTACATCCATCATTATTGTTTATAGGGCAATATTGTTCATTAACTAAATCTATAAATGTAGACCATTAGATCTCAACTCAATGGTTTGAAGGTTAAACACTCTCTATAGACCCTAAGGATCCTCGGTCATGGATGCAGACTGCTGGACAAAATAGTCGTCTAGTATTTCCTGGTTTTCAATATTTGCCTAACTAATGCTTCTCAATAATCTAAAACTTGAATCATTTATATTGCTCCAATTCTTTTAAGTATCAACCAATCAATTGTCATCACTGAACGTTTCTTCAAATCGATAAATTAATCAAATGATTTACTATTTTTCTGTAACTTTTCTAAGTACTTGTGGAGGTTAGTTATGATTGATAGTTATGTAATTGTTATGAAAAACAGAAGAAAAATATTTGCAATTAACAGTCTTTTTAAACTCTAGATTTCAAGAAAAGTTTGCTTACTTACACTTGTTACTCCCAATAAAACATAGGCCACCGATCAGCATTCTCCAACCCATTCTGTTCTGGATTTTCTTTTTTAGTTCTATCCAATTGTTGTTCATTCTTATCATATCTGTCTCCATTTCTCGGCGTATTGTGTTTTTTTGGCTCTGGAAGTGGATAGAACACACGATGAGGAAAGCATCCAACTGAGCCACAAGACAAGCCCTCACCTGGAATTCTCATGGCCAAAGGAGGACAGGAAAACCAAAAAACGCATAACACCGAGAAATGGAGACAGATATGAGAAAAATGAACAACAATTGGATAGAACTAGAAAGGAAGGTCCAGGATAGAGTGGATTGGAGAATGCTGATCGGCGACTTATGCTCCATTGGAGGTAACACGCATAAGTAAGTAAGTAAACAATATATATTCATCATAATCCAATGACATAGTGAATCTCTGGTTGTACAGACTTATTTTCTTAATAAACTCATATGATATTACCTTCTTATTGATAGTTATTTACCGACTGTTCGTATGTTACACCTATTCTAAATGTTAAATAAAGGCATTTTTTCTATAATTATTAAATTTTGAGCCCCCAAATGCCCTGGTATAACCAAGAATGGGGAGAGTTCGCTCTCCCTCTCGAAATACTCTCACATGGCTATTTGTATACAGCTACTGCCAGGGAAGTCCTTCTCGCGTCATTATTATTGTTAACGAAATCGAAAGGACGAAGAGCGAATGTCCAGCGCTTTAACCGGGTCAGTGGATACGGAGTATCCACCTAGGGATGTTGGAAAACCCTGATTTCAAACCAATGGTGAACATGGGCTGGCTCCAGGATCATGAAGGAACAAATGGAGTATGAACCAATCGTTTGTCACCGGCTACCATGGGACTGTATCTCCTTACGATGCTCCACTGCCTTGTGGATCAGACCTTTAGGTCGAAGGCTCCGGGTGTGGCCCCCTAAGAAAATCAACTGCTTCGGTTTTGGCACCCGGGCAGTATCACAGCCCTCACACAAATCAAATGAGATTTGTGTGGTGCATATGTATTTAGTGACTCTTTGTACCAATATCTATGTGTTTAAATAATAATAATAATAATAATAATAATCAAATTTTGAATAATTATCTACTGATACTCATATATACCAACTTATTATTTTAAATGAATAGGAAGTAAATAATAATGTAAATCAAACGAATCTATCAGATGCTTCTTACGCACCTATCCACATCACAAAACACAATTCATTTTCCATGGTAACTAATGATAATTCAACAAATTCAATTCTATCATCTCCCACTGATATTTGTCATGATATTATTGTGGATACTTATAATAAGTCATCCAGTTTAAATTTACTTCCATCTGAATTTTTGTTATCATCAAAATTACCATCTTTATCATCATCATCATTTCTATCTGTAGATACATTAATGACAACAAATGCAACAATATCTATTCCTACAACTTCTACTACTAGTAATACTACTACAACTACTACTTCTACTAGTAATATTACTACAATTACTACTTCTACTACTAGTACTACTTCTACTTCTACTCCTAGTACTACTACTTTTACTACTCCTAGTACTACTTCTACTTCTACTCCCAGTACTACTACTTTTACTACTCCTAGTACTACTACTACTTCTACTTCTACTACTAGTACTACTACCGCTTCTACTTCTACTCCTAGTACTACTATTTCCACTACTCCTAGTACTACTACTACTAACATTACTCTTCCATCCTCTTATGATCAAGATTGGACATTCATTGTAAATACAGAAGAGAAATTAATTGAACAATTTGTACAATTATTAAATAATTGGATTAATTCAATTAAAACAAATCAAAATTTAACATTCATAAATAAAGAAAAATTAGATCATATTCTTATGAATCGTATTACACAATTAGAAAGTCAATTATGTGAAATTTCATTACAATATCAATTGGAACGTAAACGTCGATTAAAAGAACAATTAGTTAGTTAAATTGTTATTTACTTTTTAATTTAAACATAGTTAATTATTTATTCTTTGTATTCTATTTAGGGATTGTGCTTTGGAATTCTGTATAAGAGTGTCAGTCAGTTAGTCAGTTGTGACAATATGATGACTGATCTTAAATTCTCTGGTACAGCTGAGAGTAGGAAGAGTCAGCTCTCCTTCTCAAAATGCTCTCACATGTGAGATCAGTTATATCCAATTGATAGTTTACTGATTTCTATCATGTACAAATTATTTGTTAAATTCATTATGATGATTATACATTAAGATCAGCCCCCAAATGCCCTGGTACGACTGAGAGTGGGGAGAGTCGGCTCTCCCTCTCCAAATGCTCTCACATGGCTATATGCATACAACTACTGCCACGCAAGTCCTACTCGCTGTCTTCTCGCGGTATTACTTTTGTATACGAAGTTGCAAGAACGAGAAGCGAATGTTCGACACTAACCGGGTTGGTGGATATGAAGGATCCACCTAGGGGAGTTGGAAAACCCCGACTCCAAACCAATGGTACATACGGGCTCCAAGATCCTGATGGAACAAATGGCGTATGAACCAATTATTGGTGACCTGCTATCATGGGGCTGCATCTCCTGACGTTGCTTCATTGTCTTGTGGATCAGACCTTTAAGTTAAAAGTTTCGGAAGTGACTCACAAGAAAACCACTTGCTCCTGTTTGGGCACCCGGGCAATATCCCAGCCCTCACACAAATCGAATGTGGTTGAGTTTTATTTCCTAGTTGCGCACACTGAGAAAATTACTTTCTAGTGAGAAACCTGAAAAGGAAATCGAATCAGGTATAGTTTTAATTCACTGACAACAGAGCTTATGATATAACTACTTGCGATCAATCACACACTGATCTTTCTGTGAGAGGTTTGTAATGTGTTATATTCATACATTTTAGAATTTAATCGTCAGTAACCGAAATCCATGGAGTAATATATCGCCCAGTTCTTTAAGGGCCAATCTTGTTTAGCTCTTCTGTCCCTTCTGGTAAAGTAGCATCGCTACAAATGCTGACTATCTGAGCAAATCACTCTACCCCCGTTACTTGCCAGTGCAGCCGACAATAGGTTTTCACCCTCGAACCTTATGTTTGCTGCTCACAGTCTTATTACTACCTAACAGACTTGTATGGTATAATGGGACCCTAAAGAACTATTGTTCCACCTAATATTTTCCGATTGGCATTCAAACACCGCGACCAGTTGGAATATAATAATTGTGTACATACATTGTCTTTCGATTTTCAAGTTTTTCGTAATAACTATCCTTTACAACAGTCCTACCTTAAATTAAGTAATAATTTTATGTGTATTATACGTATGTTCAATTTTTTTATTATTATTATCAAAGCAGTCAGAAACAAAAGACGACGCTAAGCCTATTGTTCACAATAGTCAGGTGAGCGATTCAAACGATCCTGAGCAATTATCTAATAGTAGTAATGGAAAGTCTGATGAAACTTCTAATCCACATAAAGTAATAATGAAACGTTTACATAAAGCCATTGAAGAATCAATTTATTTCGCTTCGAGAGCTAATATTTTACAGGACGAAGTAAGTTGACCCCCTTGTCTTACATGATTTTTGTTTTATAAAATTATTATTAAAACAAAAGTGTATGCTTTTATAATTGTCCAGATTGTCCTAAAGTGCCCTGGTACGGTCGAGGGTAGGGACAGTCCGCTCTACCTTTCAAAACGCGCTCACATGCCCACTCGTATTGATATGACGGGAAGAAACGTCAAATTTCGCCGTCGTCAGTTGTTATATCTCTAGATACTTCATATGACGCGTATAACTTGAGCACTTGAACTCTAGAACTCTTCCAAGTCACAATGAGAAGACAAAAGACTAGTGAAAGGAATGTTATTCCAGACAGTGTCGACGACCCTAGTCGAAATCACACTCATTTATATATGTGATTTCATTCTAATTATTAATCAAAATGTATGTACAATCAATATATAAATAAGTGTGCTTTCGACTAGAGTCATCGTCGTCTTTGTGTTCTTACTTTCGCGTCGTGGGAATTGCGGAAGTCCCTTGTTTCGAGTATAAGTGATAAGCGTTTCCGACATAACAATCAGCGATGACCAGATATAACAAGTAAGTATTCAATTTACAAGTTATAACACATATACGGCCACTATCAGGAAAGTTTTACTCACTGCCTTCCCGAAGTGGAAGTGTGTTTTACGAAATTGAGAGGAATGAAAGCGAATATCCGACGCTGTAACCTGGTTGGTGGGTATGGAATATCCATCTAAAGGAGTTCGAAAACCCTTATTTCAAACCAGTGGTGCACATGGGCTCCAAGATCCCGAAGGATCAAATGGAGTATGAACATATTGTTCGTTACCGGCTATTATGAGACTACATATTCTGCCTTGTGAAATAGACCTTTAAGTTAAATGCTCAGGGTGTTTCACCTTAAAAAAAACCACCTGTTTCGATTCGGGCACCCAAGAGTATCCCAGCTCACACACAAATCAACTGGCATGTGTGTCGCATATTTATTTAGTGCCCCTTTATACCAATATTTATATATTCAAATAAATAAATTGAATTTACTGACAAGGAAACAATCATTTGTTACTTATCACAGATACATTTTTATGCAAAAATTATGTTAATTAGTTATTTATATGTTTATATATATTGTTAACAGTGCTACTTGTTCATTGTTGATAATGTAAGGCAGACCTTCAGTTTCACTTTCATGATCAATAATAATATTAATAACAACAATAAAAGGTATCCAATTAGAATAATGAATGTTGTCCACTTACACATAAACACTAATACACATTGTAAAAGTCTAGTTTTGTGAAATTTTGTCAGATTCCCTCTCTCTCTCTATTATCATGTTAACGATCCATTTCCTTGATGATAATTTAATGAAGGCACACTTAATAAGTTTTCATTATACCATCGTGATACACATTCAATTAGTTAATCATAAGAAATATGAAAATTTGTGTGTGAGTTCAAGCTGTTACATGTTAATTATATATATATGTGTGTGCAAAGTTATCTATGAAATCAGAATAAACTATCAGGGTGTTTGTAATAATTAAGGTGAACACCAACGCAACTTCACTAACCGACCTGGACACTATTTAAGGAACATAATCCAGCGAGATAAATTTGGAAAGAGAAAAGCAAGGGACATGAAGAACTCAAAAGATTAGAATTTGGGAGAACACAAAGAGTGGATGCACCTGCGACATTACAAACGATTCAACGTCTCTAACTATCGGTTTCTATCATCTCGCGGATCCCAACCAGGTAGTCTACAACTACCAACATGGCTCAGTCCACTTTTCAGTGACTTCATGGATTTATGCTATGTTTTGGTTTGGCCGCCCCTAGCTTTCTTACAACATACACCATAAAAAATCGTTCGTCGGGGCAGTCGGTGGTTGGGCATACCTAACACATGTCCCAGCCATGTGAACCGATGAAGTTTCACTACTTCATCAATGGATTTGCCATCCTTACCTAGTACCCGTTTCACAACAACTGAGTTACTTATCCGGTGGTCCCAGGATATACGAGCAATGTTTCGAACACATCTACAATCGAATACTAGTAACCTACGAATATCCTCTACTCTTACCGGTCATATTTCACAGCCATAAAGTAGGACGGAACGAACTGCTGTGCAGTAAAACCGTCCTTTGGTTTTAGATGGACATCTTGCCTACGCCATAAATGATGCAATTTGGCAAAAGCTAGTCGAGCCTTCTGTGTCCGTGTTGAGATTTCGTCACACACTAAACCACAAGGGCTGATGAAACTCCCAAGATAAGTGAAGCGGTCGACACGCTCAACTACTTCACTCTCTATTATTAGTTCGTGTGTCGATGCCATCCAATCCTGAAGTAACATTTTACATTTCGAGGGGGAGAATCGCATCCCAAACACGCTTGCATTATTGCTTATAGTGGTCAGAAGACTCTGCATTTTGTCAGCGTCTTCTCCAAATAGAACTATTTCATCGGCATATTCTAAGTCAACAAGTGAATCTCCCGGTATAAGTTCAACCTCTGGAAATTTAGATGATGAAAGTGTCATCTCTAAAAGCACGTCTACGATAAAGTTAAACAAGAATGGAGAGAGTGAACATCCCTGATGAACACCACTTGAGATAATCAATTCTGATGACAGTTCGCCATAAGCTCTCACTCAACCAGTTTTGTTCGTGTAGAGAGCCTTTATAAAGTTAATGTGCTTCTTTGGTACTCCTCTCAGTGACAAAGACTTCCATAGAACCTCACGATCAACGAAATCAAATGCCGCCTTAAAGTCGAGAAATACTACGATTGTGGGACGTCTGAATGTGTGTCTATGTCTTAGGATCTGACGTGATGTGAATATGTGGTCTATACAACCGCGTCCACGTCAGCAACTGCATCTCTGTGCTAATGCGGTATAGCAACTCGAACTGATGTACGTACGTACGTAGTTCTACGTTGTTACTGACTGACTGACCGATGTTGACTAAGGCATACTTCATTAACTATACTACAAATTCTTAAGGCTAATTTTACACTTTTCTATTCTATTCATAATGAACCAATTGAAAGGTAAAATCCTCACCATGGGATTATGAAGATTACTCAGTTTTTGATTAAGATCATAAATCGATCAATGTTCGATCACCATTGAAAACCTGGAATCAATGAACAGCCGTTTTGTCCTAGTATTGGAACTGATGAACAGTGCGCATCCATGATCGTACTCACAGAACTCGAACCCAGGACCGTCGATCTTGTGCGTAAACATTTAACCTCTAGATCATTGAGTCGGTATCTAACGATATTAATGCCTAACCTCAACCAATCCACGAAATTGCACAATCATTCATTGTACTGAGGTAGATATTTGTCTCTACCTGACACAGATTAACTTCACTAATCCTTGTTTAACCCTATTCTGTTATGTATGTTGTTGTTGGGGTTTTTTTTTTTCTTATTATTTTTTTAAAGCTAGAATCTTTTATCCCATGGATTTTACAACTACTTTATTTACATCAAAAACAACAATATGAAATTAAAACAATTCAACAATCTAATAAACAATTAAAACAACAATTAGAATCAGTTAAAATAAATACAATAAAACAAATTAATGAAATGGCTAAACATATAAATAATTTAACTGAAGAATTACAAACAATTCGATTCAATTCATTAACAAATCATTATTCTTATAATAGTTTTAATAAAGAACAACCACAACCACAACAACAACAACAACAATCAAATTGTTTATCGCTTCATTCAAATGATAATCAGTTTAAGAAAGTAAGTAATATGGTTATTACTGTTGTTGTGATTATTGTTGGTTTGTTTACATAGGTTAATCACATAACTAATTAACTTTGTACATGGTGAACTACCCTTGTATGGCATAGGGTGGGGAGAGTTAACTTTCCTTCTTGAAATGTTTTTACATGGTTACGTGTATACAGAAACTGTCAGAGAATTCCTACTCACTGCCGTCTCGAGGCATTGCTGTCGTTTACGTAATTGAAAGGACAAAACAGGAATGTCCGACGCCTTAACCGAGTTGGTGGACACTGACGGTTCATCTAGTGGAGTTTAAAAACCCCCATTCCGAACCAATGGTGCACATGGACTCTAAAATCCTGAAGGAACAAAAGACACATGAACCAATTGTTGGTGACCGGCTGCTATTGGACTGCATCTCCTGACGTTGTTCCATTGCCTTGTGGATTAGACCTTCTGACCGGAGGCTCCATGTGTAGCCCCCTAAGAAAACCACTTGCTTTAGTTTGGGCACCCGGTCAGTATCACAACCCATACACAAATCAAATGACTTTTATGTGGCGCATGTGTATTCGGTGCCTCTTTGTCCGAATAAATGATGATAAATCACAAATTAATTAGTTGGATGATAGCTAGTTAAATTGTCTGAAACAACCTACTCCTCTATCTCCAATTGTATATTCATTGAAAGATTGATTTCTTCACTGATAACTAGAATTCGTGAAGAGCATTGGATAACAGTTTTGTTCTGGTTAGGAACTATTATTTAGCAGCACACAACTATGACCTCCATTATACTAAGACTGAATGTTGTTTAGTTCTTATGGTAAACATATTACAAGTCACCACATTTCCAACTTTGTCTAATTTTCCACATATTAGAGTTTATACCAAATGTATCCATGTTTTACAACAACTCGAAACAAAAAATGATTAACTTCGAAATTTTACAAATAATCATTCAACTGTTTATCATTTTTATTTAATTTATTTGAACACATAAATACTGATACAAGGAGACACACAAATCTCATTTGATTTGTGTTAGGGCGGTGATATTGCCTGGGTGCCCAAACCGAATCAGGTGATTTTCTTAGGGGCCCACAGCCGGAGCCTTTGACCTAAAAGTCTGATCCACAAGGCAATGGAGCATCGTAAGGAGATGCAGTTCCATGATAGCCGGTGACCAACAATTGGTTCATACTCCATTTGTTCCTTCATGATCCTGGAGCCAGCCCATGTGCACAATTGGTTTGGAATGACGGTTTTCCAACTTCCCTAGGTGGACCTCCGTGTGCATCAACCCTGTTAAAGCTCCGGACATTCGCCTTTCGTCCTCTCAATTCCAAAAACACCCCCGAGGAGGCAGTGAATAGGACTTCCCTGGCGTAGGCTATATACGCGTAGCCATGTTAGAGCATTTCGAGAGGGAGAATGAACTCTCCACTCTCGGTCGTACCAGGGCATTCGGGGGCCTACTTAATATTAAAGAATAGAAACCATTCAATGAGGAATTTTTTTCAATCAAGTTCTTTACTAATACTACTAATTTAACATACATAGTAGTCTCTTAGAAAATAAAGCTAATTGTATTCTGTCATAAATTGTTTGGAAATATCAAATATATTCAGTGGTTCGAAGAAATTGGTGCGAACTCCTAAACACTTAGATTTCATGTCAATCCAGTATTTGTGTTTTGTATGGGCTTACTCTGTGGTGCTCATGTGTGCCTCAAAGCCGGGTAGCTTGTCCCTAACATACCCATTAGTCAATCATCGACTAGAAAAGTGCATACGAACTTTGATAAAGTTAGATTTGATTTGTGCTTGTTATGATTGCAACTCCTGGAGCGCGGATCGGCAAAGCAACAGCAGCATATCTACAATTTAAGAACATCCGAAACTCAAAACAACTGTCTGTTAACCAACACCAGACGCAGAATTTTCAATACAAATGTCAAGACAATTCTACTGTATGGGCTGGAAACCTGGAGAACTACAAAAGGCATCAACCAAAAGATACAAGTGTTTATTAATAGTTGTCTAAGCAAAATACTTCGAATCCGTTGACCAGACACTATGAGCAACAACTTACTGTGGGAAAGAACAAACCAGATTCCAAAGGAGGAAGAAATCAGGAATAAGCACTAGAAGTGAATAAAACACACATATTGAGGAAAGCACCCACCTACGTCACAAGGCAATCCCTCACTTAGAATCCTCTAGGCCAAAGCAGAAGAGGAACACCAAAGAACACATAACACCGAGAAATGGAGATAGATATGAGAAAAATAAACAAAAATTTGATAGAACTAGAAATGAAGGCCTAGGATGGAGTAAGTTGTAGAATGTTGTTCGGTGGCCTATGTCCCATTAAGAGTAACAGACGTAAGTAAGTATTATGATTGCTCGTGTTTTTGGCTGCCTATGGAATATATTTCCCCATTTCGAACTTGAACTTCTTTCTCTAATTAACTGGGGCTAGGATACATCAGAATAGCTAGTTTATTGGTTTTTAATCACAGTGTCTTTGTTCCGTTCTCAAACGAAGTGAACTCGTTATCACTTCCAAACATAGCATTATATATATGCAGTCTTAAACCTCAATGGGAAGATTCAAGTAAAACAATATCAAGTGAATTAAACTTCACCCGATTGTACAAGCAAGTGGCTATCAGGACTCAGTAGCTGTGAGTGGATAACACAATGGCATTTGAAGCGAATGTTATTGAGTTCGAATCCCAGAGTGAACATCAACTCTGAGATGTAGGTACATCCAGCTGACAAGTCCCAAATAAGACGAAACGCGCCTTGTCCTAGATTCCACTGCTAGTCACTATCTATCATTGCTTACAAAAAGAATTTCTTTTTATTTATGTATATAAATAATCAATTCATATTATCATTTCATTATTTATCTATTTTATTCTTCTTTTTTTTCTTTCTTTATATATAGAATACATTATTTAATGTATTGAAGAAATGATCTATTGTGTATATAATCTAACCTTTCATATTGACTTTATTTATTTTAACAATTTATATAATCATCATAAATAGATCAGTTCTATTGTACTATCTGTAAAAGGGATTGGATTTATTGTGTGTGTGTGTGTGTGTGTATGTATCCATCTGTGTATGTATGTATGTATGTATGTACTACGAACTCATATTATTGATTATTGATTATGTAACATGAAATGTTTGTTTATATTAAAATGAATATTTTCATTATTTTAATTTAGATAAACAAATCATTGTAAAAAAAAAAACAAAATTTTTTTTTCATCAGTTTTCTAGAATTATGTTTTGATTAATGATATTTAAATAGTTTTACGAGAGAGAGACAGAGGGGGGGGGAGGAACTTCTTTAAAAAATAAAAAAAAATTTTTTTCTCTTCGCCAAGTTTTTGTTTCTATTTAAAAATAGAATTTTGATTTTTATTGATTAAGAGGATTGATTTTGTTTATCTTTTTTTTTTATATTTATTTGATAAGATAATTAAAATTTTATTATGAAAAATATAAGATTTTCTTTTAACTTAGATACTTAGTGATTGAATCACTTTATTTATTTATTTATTTGAACACATAAATATTGGTAAAAAGAGCTGTTCGGATGCCTAAAACGAAGTAGAAGGTTTTCTTAGGCGACCACACGCGGAGTCTTCGACCTAAAGGTTTAATCCATAAGGCAGTGGACCTGCTTCGGTTCGGGCATCCGGGCAGTATCACAGCCCTCACACATATCCAATGAGATCTGTGTGGCGCATATGTATTTGGTGCCTCCTTGTACCAATATTTATGTGTTAAAATAAAATAAATAAATAAAACAAGGCAGTGGAGGAATGTTAGGAGATGCAGTTTCATGGTAGCTGATCACCAATAATGGTTTCATATGTGATTTGATCCTTCAGAATACTAGAACCCATTTTTACCATTGGTTTAGAATGAAGGTTTTCCAACTCCTTTAGATGGATCCTCTATATTCACCAATCCGGTTAAAGCGCCGGACATTCTCTTTTCGTGTTGTTAATTTCGTAAACAACAATGATGTCGCGAGAAGGCAGTAAGTAGGACTTCTCTGATAGCGGCTGTATACACGTGGCCACTTGATAGCATTTTGAGAAAGAGAGCTGACTCTCCCCACCCTCACTTGTTCTCAACCAATAGCTTCGTTACATGTAAGATAATTTATTGGATATATAAATATTTAATAATGGCTTTATGAAGTTGCGTTGGTGTTCACCTTAATTATTACAAACATCCTGATAGTTTATTCTGATTTCATAGATAACTTTGCACACACATATATATAATTAACATGTAACAGCTTGAACTCACACACAAATTTTCATATTTCTTATGATTAACTAATTGAATGTGTATCACGGTGGTATAATGAAAACTTATTAAATGTGCCTTCATTAAATTATCATCAAGGAAATGGATCGTTAACATGATAATAGAGAGAGAGAGGGAATCTGACAAAATTTCACAAAACTAGACTTTTACAATGTGTATTAGTGTTTATGTGCAAGTGGACAACATTCACTATTCTAATTGGTTTCTTATTATTATTATTGTTTAGTAATAATAGTACTCGTCTTATTCAACGTTAAATACTGTGATACGGTCGAGAGTGGGAAGAGTCTGCTCTCGCGTGAACACGTGTATAAAGCCATTGCCACACCATTCCTACTCACTACCTTCTCACGGCAGTGGTGTTGTCTACGAAATTGAGAAGATGAAAAGCGAATGTCTAGCGCTTTAACTGGGTTAGTGGACACGAAGAGTTCACCTAAGGGAGTTAGGAAACCCTGATTCCAAACGATTCATGCGCAAGGGCACCATGATCCTAATGGAACAAGTGCTATATTGACCTATAGTTTGTGAACGGCTACCAATGAACTTCATTTCCTGACGTTACTTCACTGCCTTGTGGATTAGGCCTGTAGGTTGAGGGCTCCGGTCAGCCCTTCAAGAAAACCATTTGCTTGGGTACCTGTGCAGTATCCCATCCCTCACATGAATGATTTATATGGCGCATATTTATTTGGTTCTTCTTTGTACCAATGTTTATGTATTTAAATAAATTGAGTAAAATTGATCTTCAACTCATCAAGTGCTCATATTTGAACATATGGATTTTACATAATATGTGAATCAGTCTTTTTAATTCAATCTACCTCCTTTTATGATGAACTCGCAAACAAACATTTTTAATGATGTTTCACTGAATAATAGGTAAGCTAGGAATGTTAAAGCAAATAACAAATTTAACGCATGGTGTCTGTATATCGATGTGCGAACAACAAAAGTTTTCTTACAACTTCATATTTATAAATCTTTAGTGTATCTACCGATTAAGATTTTGTAGGCAATAGTGAATTTTAAGCAAAAATGAATGATGGCTAACAGTGGAATCCAGGACACGCGTTTTGTCATGTTTGGAGCTTAGTAGCTAAATGGATAAAGCGATGGTGTTTAAAGCGAATGGTACTGGGTTCGAATTCTAGAGTGAACATCAACTCCGAGATGCAGGTACATCCAGCTGACCAGTCTCAAATAGGACGAAACGCGCGTCCTGGATTCCACTGCTAGCCACTATCCATCTTTGTTTATAATGCTTGTAAATTAAGGCAATACGCACAGTATGCACATATACCAATAAGAGACATAGATTGCATTCCTAAACGTAAATGAGAAGATTCAAGTAAACAATATCAAGTGAATGGTGGATTTTTCTATGAAATTATTTATGTCTATGAAGAATATGCAGAACGACACGTTTAGCACGAATAAAGTCATATTGATGGTGCTACGTGTTATAACTTATGGGTTTGTGCCCCTATCAATGTATAATGTAATAATACCGCCAATTAGAGAACAGTGGATCGTCGATTGGACCAATGACGCATAAGACACGTACGAGCAACCTTGAGTCCTTATCGGTCTTGCTTCCCACCTAGCCCTGTCTGTTAGAATCCAGAACACCAATCTCAGCCTCTGTGATGTGAATCATGTATTTCAAACATACTGAGTTTATATACCGATCAAACACACCACATCGTATCATAAAGTAGGACACAACATTTGTACAAGATTCAGCCAAAAGTAGCTGTGAATATGGTAGACTGTAATTAATAGACTGGACTTAACTCAAGAATAGTAAATGGTATAATAATAGTTCATAGGTCAAAATAAAGTTTATAATAAGAGAAACACGAATATGAATAGTTTAGTTGCTTAACAATTATACAATAAAAAATATAAAGTGTTATTTCAGAAGTCGATTCCAACAGTTACCATTCATTATTCTCATCCAGATATAACACTACGTAGCTATATTTCTACAATGCTATGATCGAAAACTGATGATAAGCCTTGAAAAATCAGGAGACTTCTTAAAACTTCCATGCTGCAACATACTTAATTACTTCTGTTGTAAAGTAATTTCAGTGTATACAGACTCTCCTCAATGACTCTAAAGTGACTTTAAAAACACATGGTCATCTTGAGAAGACCTCGAGATTCCATCTCTAGGTTATACTTTTACTATTATCCTCAGTGATTTCTTCACAGTGTCAAGTAATCAGAAAAAAAAATGTAACTATTGAAAGGGACTATTAACAATAGAATAAGTTGCATATATATGTTATTTACAAAAATGCGATTATATCATGTTCTTATCCAAGCATTCCGAGGGATCAGGACTGCTAACGTTTGACATGAGAAATGAGGACTTCTAATCAAGGTACCTTGGTAATACCTTAAGCGATAAATATTTGGTTAAAATATCAATATCGACTTAAGCTGAAAAATATGAAGCTCAAAGTATCAGTTTCATCATTGTTCCAAATTCGTTTACACTACGAGTAGTAATTTCAATGAGGATTAAGGTACAAAACATAGTACTAATGTCTAGAATTTCTAACCATTGGATTCCGATCTTACGACTAGACAGTTTATTGCTTTTCACCAGGCTTCAACATTGACTGTTATGTGTGTGACATGCAGTACTTAAAAAACATTTAACTAGAACGGAACGGTTACTTTATACGCTTTAGGTCTACGTTGATTTCATCATACATCACTTCAATGCACAGAGTTGTATTATATGTGATGTATTCAGAGTTCAAAGGCACACAAACCGGAAAAGTGACTTAAACCATTTCATTCCATTGACGAGAATGTTCTGGTCTTGAACTCTTTTCTAAATAAACACATTACAACCATTGGATATTATATACCTAGAATTTAAGACCAGTATCCAACTTCTAATCCTAATAAATTGTTCCACAGTAACTATTGAATTAACCACTTAAAAACAGTCTTAACAAGTATAAATTAAGCATTCAGTATTGAAAACGTGTATTTCTAATCGATATGTGAATAATAAATTGATTATTAATATTCTATTACTGTTGAACTTGATTGGATTTATCTTTTTATAATTGAGTGTATATTGGTTAAAAATGATCTATTTCTTGTTGGAACGGCTTCCAAGAACTACGATGGAGCCTCCAGAGACCCTAGAGCAGCCGAAGAGTCCCATCCAATCAGAACGTAATAGAGCTTTCTAGAATATCGACATGGCATGCTACTGTTGGCCAGTAGCATAACATGCCTCTTTGTGGATTGGTTGAATTATAATATTGATTTAACAAACGCTAATATCTATAAATACCCATAATTTTCTGTACAATTCGGTTTTTGCCCAACAAGCAATTTCTCCAGTCTTCTTTTGTCTTCTTATTCGCTACTTGGAGTGTTCTAGTGCTGGAGTGCTCAAGTTATTCACGGTATATTAAGAATCTAAGCTCTAGATATTATATTTCTTAGATGAAATTCTAAGGATCAGAACAATTTAGTGGTGATATCTTAGAGATTTGCAACCAATTCGTTTAGTTCATTGAACCAATATACAGACAATAGGATGACCATTAAGAAGTATTTAGGATAACAATGTAAACGATCAGTGGTCATATAAATAAGGTTAGTCATACCAGTTATGTTTCCTATGAAGCATATTGTGTATATATGAGTAAAGATAGGTATTTCTCGTTAGTTGGATATCGTATTAAATTTAATGTTGTGAATGTCTTTGATTTACGGTAAATATAGTTAGGGACGGCCAAACCAAAACGTGGCATCAGTTCACAAAGTCACTAACTTCTGATCTGAGCTTTGTTGGTAGATAAAGACTTCTTGGTTGGAGTCCATGTGACTATCGTAACCAATGGTTGGAGACTGTGGGTGACATGGCTCAGAATCGAACACAATGACGTAGGTGTGCACACTCTCTAACTGCCCTTGAACCGTGAGATTAAAATCACTTCATATCTTTCTCTCTACCAAATAATTCTTTCTTCCTGTGTTATATCCTTATATGAAATCTTTGTTTTATATATTACTACCATTGAAGTAATTACTTCATCTTTTTATGCTAATGATGTGTGTTAACTTCGACCGATACATATATGTGCCATTGAATTAACTACTTCTATGAATTCG